ATACTCTACCCGGTTTAAAGAAGGGAAACAGTGAAGCCCTTGATGAAGTTACTACCACTGATGTGACTGCTACCGATAATAGGACATTTCCTGATGAGCAGATGAACCCCACGTGAAGCAGAAGCCAATGAGACAGAAACCAGTACGAAAAAAAGAGATATCCTGTAAAATTAAAACTACTTTGTACTATTATTGTGGTAACATTCACACAACAAGTCATTGGCAAGACCTCTTGTAAACCATCATTAATATCATAAAGAACACACCTTGATCTATTTCACTTCTGGAGAGTTCTGGTTTTCTTCCTTGAACATCTCTATTATTAACAGTGTCAGCTCAGCATTTTGCATACAGCTTCTACTGAAACAAAGTCTTGCCACATTTGTTCGCGTAGAGTAACATTGACTAGCCAAAACTTTGATTTCTACATGCTTGTCATATGTTAGTTCAATCCTGAGAGCCATAACTGATTTGCACCACTACTATTAGATAGAATATGAATACATGTTCTTTTATACTAGGGTAGCAGTTTTTGACTGGTTGGTTAACAACCAATCATAGTGTAAACGGCATATGTCTACCCTGGTAGATTTTGCTTTCACATGATAAAGGGATGACATTCCTATATTTGTTTTTTATACCTCTTTTTCTGACAGTTTCCATAATTATTTCCAATATATTAGCATTTTATCTTGAATGTGTTTATGGAACATTAATGTGTTGAATGTAGTATTTTTGAGATAACTCATCTCGCACACAGATCAACTATCTTCCTCAGTGAGCCTGCCAAAGAGATTTGCATGGCACTAGCTTTGTGGCAACTCCCACCTAATTTCACGAGTTTTTACGTGAATTGCACCATTGCTTGATGATGACATCATGTGACAACAGTCCTCCACCAATAATAGGGTGACCCCCCTCCCCATGTGCACTAAATCCCTTATGCATTTGCACTCGTGAATCTTCATTCTTCTCCTCAATATTGTACATATATTTTTTAATTTTTTGTGTGTCTTCAATTTATTAAGACTTGCATCATTTTTAAAGTTTTGTTTCAAAAGCTTTAATTTTTCTATCATTACTTCTCAAATGAGTGTGGTACATTATTCACAGTTAGGCCTTATATTTGCTGTGGCTTTTGGAGACTTGTTAATTGTAAGGGTCGTTGCAGCCATTCTACATGTTATGGATTGCCACATGATTAATTAGCCTCCTCCTCCCTGAATTTATTTTTCCTCAGTCAAGAGTGATTTATTTGAGAACGACTTTTGCCATATTTGCTTTGGGTAGAACTCTACCATTCATGAAACGACTTTAACCTTTCAATTTCTTTCTGGATTTCCTTCCCAGGTATGTTCCTTTCCATTTATTTTTTTCTCACTTTCCAACCCATGATTCTTGGGTTTTCTTGTCCTTTTTCCTTGCTTATTATTAGGTTTTATAATGTTTCCTTTATCTAAAAGCTCCTTTCTCACACCCAACTGCCTCTTCCCCCTCAATTTTGTGACTCCTTCTTTTTTTTATTCACTGTCATTATTATATATATTTACCTTTCTTGTAGTATTTCCTACTCTTTTGTGAGCCTCTCCTAAAGTAATTGTCTTTGTGACTGGACCCTGCTTGTATAACTTCCTGTGTTCCCTTACCACTTCTTAAACCAGATCCTTCCCTTCTTCAATGCTTTATTCTTTGATAGAGGTACATTTTCAATAAGTACAGGACTTCTGACATTTGAATGCTGGACAAGAGTTTATTCAACATTAACATGCTTGACCTACTTGCTCCTCATCGGGTATGTTCCCATTCCTACCTCTATTGATGGTTCACTTGGTCATGTTTTACGGAGTCTATTCCATGGTCTTTTCCTGCTTCAACTCTCCTTGTGGTTCCTGTTCCAGGGCCTTTTTTATTTCAAGCATCAACAATAGACTTCTGAGCCAATTCACAACTTTTGATGGGATCTACAATCTTGGTTGCAGACCACCTCTCTCAGTCAGTTTATATTCTATCACCATAATATATCATTTATACCCCAGATCTTCTGTGGGGTTTATCCTTGTGTGAACACTTCCATATTTGGCCATTCTTTTTAATTCCACGCTTCCTCTATTATAGTAATCTATTCCTAATCTTTAGGCTCTGGCTGTCAATTTCTCAATCAGGCCTCGGATTTACATACTACTTCTTACATCCTATTGTTAGTGCCTCTTTGACCACCTTAGTCTTTGCCTGCTTGATATTTGTACCTCCCTTTCCTCTTCTCATTATCCCTTCTCTCTCTCTTTCTTGCTTCTCACACTTCCTGTCTTCATAGAGGAATATCCACCCTCATGTGTGGAATTTGCCTGATCTGTTGCCTGTCAGGCTGGATTTTCCACTAATGTAGCATTATTCTCATCACATTCTTGTCTTGTATTTGTCTATCACTATCTGTGGTGGGTCTTTTGTCATTGGTCTTTCCACCACCCCTTCTCTTCTGGCAGTAATTCTGTGCGCCACCTTTCTGCTTTTTGTTACCCATCCGTTCGTCATTAGATTCATGGTCTCAGCCTTTTGTAGTTGTTGAGTGGCCTTGTCCATGGTCTTTCTCCTTTCCATATATCTAGATGTGTTTTTCCCCTATCCTCTCCATGTTGTTCAGCTCCTTTGTTCTCTTCAGTCCTCCTTGCCTGACTAAGACCTCATTGAGGTTTTGCACAATCTCATGCATGCCTCATTTGAGCTTTTGACTTCCTCACTTTCTCTTCTGACTTGTTTTCTTCTACATCTTTCCCACAATTACCATTCTTCTTATGTAATTCCTTTAGATTCTTCTTCCACCCTCTTTCACCACACTTATATTTTCTTTTCCCTGGGCTTATACTTTCTTCCTTGTACCATTTGCACCTGGCTTGACTCCTGTGTCGTGTTAGGCTGTTCAATGTGTCTTATCACAGACCTCTCCCTTTAGAGGTCTCTGCCTTTGTGTTTCCCTATCATGGGACCCCTCTTTTTCCATGGACCTCTTTCCTTCTTACCTTATGTGATAATTCTATTGACTGCTCCATTGAGATGTGTATGCTTACAAACCATTTCCCTTTTGTTTGCATTCAATTCATCACCTTTTTTTGTCCTTTTAAATCTCTTCTTCAATGGCCCTTGGACAAACTTCTCCAGGTGGGCATGTGGACTCTCTCCACACATTTCTCTTCTTCTCTACACCTTCTGGCTGTTTTGTCTCCACCCTGGCTCAACATGTGTCTGCTGTGAGAAGGGGTGTTCTGCAAGATCATTTGAGGTATCTATTTGGTATATATATCTGTATATATTCACTCTATTCAGACCATACCTTTTCCATGGACTATCATGGAAAAACCCAGCATCATGGAGGTGTTCTGCCCACTTCTCTGGCTCATCCTTGCTGGCTTTTAAAAATAGGGCTTTGCAGTCATCCATTGTGCTATCTCCTGTAAAAGACCTTTTCAGACCAAAGGAATATATTCTTCAGGTCTCCCCCCCCCTTATTGAGTGGAGCATGGGATACCCTGCCACTTATTAGTTCTTAGCTGCTGAAGTGACTAAATGACTGTGCCCTCCTCATACAGCTGAAGCTAATTCATTAGAGTTGATATGAGCATGCAACAAATATAGACCAACACCAAATAATGTAGTATCTTCCTCCTGCAAATAAAACCTGTTCTATAGAATCTATTCAATTGAGTTGAGGTGAGCACTTGCTATACATTAACGTTATATATATATCCATCTCACATGTCCTCCTGCAACCTATGTCTGTTCAGTAGTATTGAGGTGACCACACACTATATCAGTTCTTACTAACTCACTGTGCCCTCCTCCCATAACTGTAAGTTCCATATACAAAACATATACAAGTATCCATATTACATACCAGTGTGCCCTCCTCCTGCAGCTGCTGTCGAGTTGAGTCGAGATGTGTACATTATATCCAAATCCCATTGGCATGAATACTGTGCCCTCCTTCAGCAGCTTGAGTTTGTCCTGTAGAGTATGATGGTAGAGTTGAGGTGAACACACAAGGTACAATCTGAATTTGCCCCAACCACACTAACACATAGTGGTTGTATGAGAACTTGTATTCAAATATCAGATGGTCATGTTCTAATTCTGCTCATCCCTTGGCACAAATTTGGTTTCTGTGCCTCTTCCCTTTTATTTTATGGGTAAAGAATGTACCCTGGACGAGACGAGATGGTGCTCCCACAGGTGTGCCGCTATGGAGCCCCTGCCATCAGGTGTCACACCCCACTGGCATCCTTTGGATGCTTTCTGAAGGATGATCATCTAGCTAAATTTTTCACCAGTCAGTCCACCATATCAACATGGGATTCTAGCTAGTCTGTGTGAGGAGGTGTGTTATCATCTCAAAAGTTAGCATTTTCCTTACCTGAAAACGTATTTCTGATGGATACCTCTTGACACATTTCCACCCATCCCCCTCCAATCCAGTGCACATTTTCTTACTTGCCTTGTCAAAGAATAAAGATTCACCTGTGTAAATGCATAGGGGGAGCTAATGCATATGGAGGTGTGTCACCCTCCTGTTGGTGGAGTGCTTTTGTTACATGATGATGTCATCATGCATTAGTGCAATTTATGTAAAATCATATGAAATTAGGTAGGAGTTGACTCAAGGCTAGTGGCATGCATATCTCTTTGACAGACATGCTGAGGAAGATAGTTAATATGTGTACAGAGGTAAGTATCTATCAGAAATACATTTTCAGGTGAGACAAATATTAACTTTTATCATGTTATTTAAAAAAAACAACTAAGAGTATAATCCGTCATAAACTAATATGTCAAGAAAAAGTATCTGACCAATTCTCAGTTTAAAATCAATTTCCATTAAAGTAACAAGTGATTAGAACATGTATTTTCTAGAAAAGATACAGTGGAGGGTATTATAAAAAACTTGTTTCTGAGATATTAGATCCACTTTTTACATGTCATTCTCACACTTTTGATTTCTCTCATAACAGGAATGACAATGACCACTATCATTGGAATTGCTGTGGCCTCAATGATGGCATTTTTAATAATCTGTATCTTGGTCATTCTCTTTGTACGCAAGAAGCAAGCCAAAGTGTCAGAGGTGAACAGTGTAATGCCTCACAAAGTGCATCAGAAGTAGACTTCCACTCGAGAGATAGGATAAACTAACCAATAATGCCTTTCAACAGACATGTACCCATTCAAGATGCTGTAAGAAATAAACTATGCATTGAAACAAAAATTATATGAGTTAAAATATTCAGGAAAGTAATTTTTTTAACTCAGCAAAAAAGACATATTTATCATTATTTTCAACTCTTTTTGCTAACTCTATTTTTTATGTCCTTCCTGTACAATCATGTGTAAATAACTGGAATAAAATTAAACAATGTGTAGGACTGATCACAGGTAGTAAGCACTACTAATTTCAAATAGCTTGAAAGTTTTTATTGTTGTTATAAGATAGTGTTTTGAAAAAAAAAAACATCTGTTAAGACTTTGAAGGTTATTTTTAAGGTACATATTGTCCTATGTAACTGCAGGGAAAAATTACTTATAGTACCAAATCTGGTGTGATAGAAACTACATTAGCCATAAAATGACAAAACTGCATGAAGAACCAATCTTTTAATTGGTAGATTAAATCACCAAAATATTAAAAAGGAAATACTTAAAACAGACTAAAGAATTTATAAATAAATTTTAGAGCTAATGGTTAGATACAATTTAAAAGTATTGCACTTAAAAAGCATATTTCCTGACTAGGAACTGTAACTGTATAGAGGATCTTAGTTTGCCTCTAATAGCTAGATATACAACAAATATAGTAAAACAATTTTTCAGTTTATCAATTGTAAACAGTTTATGTAGTGATGAGTAGCAATTTTTTTTCAGTTGTAAAGATAGCTTAGATGTTGGTTTTATACCTACAAAAGTTCAATCCCAAATTATAAAAACATTTGTAAATTGAAATATTAAATTTAGAAAGATGATCTTGTTTTTATAACTGGAAAATGTCAAACTTAATGGTAGAAAAATATCCATTAATTATTTAAAATGCTGTTGAACCATTATTGAGCAATTTAAATTTTACAAATATATTTTACTATTCATGATTTTAAGAATTAACCTGTCATTGTTGTCCATAAAGATATGTGTGTAACTTTAAACACACTGTTAAATAAACTGTGTGATATGTAAAACGTTATCTTACAAAATAAATTTCAAAGGAATAAGATAATGCTGTTGTCCTAAAATGTGTATCATTAAGATAGTTTGCATGATTATAATGTGAAATTATGTTAAATGGTGAATTATAAAATGGAAATATGATTTCACATAGGCAGTGAAACTGGGGAGACATATACCCTCCACTTTGACCCAGTAGTGAACTGCTCCTTTGAATGGAGAATAGGGACTTGTGTGTAATATAATTATCAGGGAAAGTTGTGTATTCAGTTTCAATTCAGTGGTCATAAATAACATAGCAATTGTCAGTGCCCCCCCAAATTCAAATATGTTCCACCACCTATGTTATTTAAGTATATTATGTGGTATCTTTTGATGTGGAGTTGAAGACCTATGTAAGACATATATAAAAGTATTTACTATATATCTATGTATATTAAAATTCAATTAATACATAAACATTACTATTTTTATTTAGGCATTTGTAGATAAAATTTCATGTCTTTTTGTTTTTTTTAATCAGAGTGAGGATCAAAAGGTTTCATGTTTAAGATGTACTGCTACTAAACCAAACATCTTTTGCACTTTCAACTATAGATACATAAGAGTGACAGTCAATCCCACCATTTGGCTGAAAATAAACACTTTAGACAGTGTGTGCTGCCAGCTGGTTACACCACAAAGTTACAGAATTAGAGATACCTCAACTACAAGGGGTCTAAGATGTGGTGATTTAACTCATTATATGAATAAAGCATTCTTCTAGTAAGCTACTGAAGTATCATTAGTCAGTTGTGTTTTGTGTATTAATTAGCAAGAGCATTTCCAATATGCCCTATAAGCAACCATCTCTTACCAGAAATTGTAAAAAAATGATATAGAATTTGTTATTAGAACTGTTAAAACCAGGACAAAGCTATTTTTAACTAGACCTTTGTACATCCTAATATAATTAAATTCAAGTATGTACTTATCCAAAATAATTACTTGGGTTCCTAGTTAAAACCCTAATTGAGTACAATTTGTAAATAATTCAATGCTAGAATATAAATTTTAGTACAATAACACAAACATTTTAATTGTTTATTCAATTTGTTTGCAACTTTATAGATAGCTAAGGTTAATTTTAAGTAATGTTGAATTATTACTAATTTTAATATGAAATAAACCCCTGATATTATTATGCTACAATTTTCTTGTCTTTAAGTCAGTTTTTCAAAAATATTGTTTATATATACAGATCTTACAATTTGTGGTAAAAATTTGTATCATTGTGTAGCATTTTGTTAAATCTACATTTAAAAAAATGTTTCTATATAGAGGTAGGGTTAGAAATGGAGTTTGTTTCTTTATGTGCTTACATAGAAGAATGGAAATTTTCTACGTGAATGAGAGACTGAATACACTGTGGTTTGTGAGGATAGTTGCCTTCAAAAGAAAAGTACTTCAGACTTTTGGAGATGTTCTAAATAACCTTTATATCCATCTGTCCAATATAGCCAGAGTAGAAATAAAGTTGAACTCTTAAAAAAAGTAATTGATGGTGCTATGTTGCAATCACGCAGATACTTGATGTTTTATAGAATCTTAATTTCCAGTACTCCTTGTAGGTGATTGTTTTATAACATCCAATTCAAGTGTGGCTGAGTGGTAGTGTACTCAGTTGTGCATAGGAAGATCCACAGTTTACACAGTGATGCTGCTGAACACAATCCTTACTTTCAGCTGTGAGTGAAGAGTAACACCTAAATCTATTATTTGGTTAAACATAGACAAAACCCTTGTGACAGTGAGTGGTACTGACTGGCTACATTCCCTCTGATCAGTAAAGGGAGGGCTTGATGACAGTTTTATTTTTTAACAGAATATATAGCTAATGGAATGTGTTTCCATCAGCACCAGTGGAGGACAACACTTTACAGGAGTTTAGGAAAAGAATCAGTGATTTCTTGAAAACTAAAGGCTGGGTTTAAATTTTTATTTTTTCAAGGGTGAATGTGCAAAGACAGCCTGAAATGACAAACGGTGTTTTGCTGTCGATTTGTTACATTACATGAGCTCTAGGGTTCCATGAAGTGGTTGTTAAACCCCTATGTTGTATAAGGTAGTGTTTAAGTTGGAAATACCAGTTACTAAAAGTTCACGACCTTGAGATTTTGTTCTACAATATTCTTAATATGTGTATCTATGAAGGGGCTGCAGAACATTTTGCTTGTTTGTTGTTAAGCACAAAGCTGCAAAAGTACTGTCTGTGCATTGCCCACCATAAGAACTGAACCTTGAATTTGAGCATTATAAGCCCTCGTGCTTACTGTTGGGCCAATGAGGGTGGAGGGAGCAGCAGAAGAGAGTTATTTAGAAATGTTTGAAAATACAACTGATATTTTTTACACATATGAATGCACAAGGTTTTAAAGTTTGCTTTATGACAACTGTATCCAAATTAGTGAGTATTTTTTGAGTGAACAGTTATGTAAGCTAGCAATAAAAAAGAAAAATCAGTATAATTCATTAATTCAGTTTTGAAAAAACACTAAAAAATATATTAAAAAACTACAAATTGAAGAAGAGATTTAACAGGCTGTCTATCAACATCTATTTTATCATCAAACAAAATGGTAGTTTTGTAGCCAAAATAAAAAAGGAAATGAAAAAGTTTTCTAGTTTTTTTGTTTACATAGTTTGCTTATTATTAATAAAAATGTATGCTTATTACTCTTCTGCAGAACATGGCAAATGTTTACTATGTTCTGAAAATTATGCACCTCTAAAACAGATCTTCAAAATTTAATTTGTTAGTTTTGCCTACTTTTGATTCCGTCCCCAATGGAACAGCAGTAAATCTTCAGATTTACACTGCTAAAATCAGGGGTTCAATTCCCATCAGAGAACACAGCAAATAGCCCAATGTGGCTTTATTATAACTAAAACACTCCCTCACACTCACTCACTTTTGATTCCAGATCCAATTTTTACCAGTAAAAAAAAAACAATTGGTGCAAGTATTCAATTTCTTGATGTTATAATCCACACTTTTGCAAAGTCTGATTATCAAAAATGTAAAAATATGCTTTAAAATGGCTTCAAAATAACCCATATTTTGCATTATTTTCCACCAAGGGAAATAACTCCAAAAATATAAGCATGCCAACTGGACTGAGCACTTGAAATACATGCATCTAGCGATCACCATAGCCAGCAAATCCTTACTTTATCTCTCTCACATTTTATGATATGCATATTAATTCTTGTGCTAGTGGACGTGAATTCAATCTGTGTCAACTTAGCTGATGCACTTATCTACTACTACTTTTTAATTGTACGTAAATATTTGTTCTTGAAAGCATACCACATCATTAAGAATATTGGTTAATAAGAATAAAAAAGTTCATCCAGTCACTCTCATTCCCAAAGTTCATTTTGCATGCTTCAACTCAGAACAAATGTTATCCAATGTGACTGCTGCTTACGGCTCTTTCTCACACATTGTCAACTTTAAAGGTAACACCCTTTCCAATCTTATGTAATTTACTTGATAATGTGTAATATTAGTATCATATTACTTCCCTATGAGTTACTTACCTTTGAAGGTCTAGTTAAATATAATGACTATAGAGCCTGCTGGATGTTTGGTCACCCTACGACCAACAGTTATCTCAGCAATTTTTTATCTCTTTTCAGAAGGGTTTCCCCATCTTCACCATTCTTCCTTATTATCTGTGGGCACTTGCTATATTACTGGTTTATTTTGGTGAACTTCATTCATTGACAGTTCCCCGTTTCTACTCTCTGGACAGCTGAATGTCTTTTTTCATGTAGAGGTTCCCTGCTAGCCTACTGATCATCACACTATCGTTTGTAAGTACTCACTGTCTTGTCTGACAATGATCCAGCTCCTGTTGGCGACTTTCATCCACAAATGACTTAGCAGCTACTTGCCTCCCTTCACAAAGAGGTTCTGCACCATGCACCTGATCATCACCTCCATCATAATCTGTGAGAGCTATCCATCTCTCTCTCACATACGCCTTCTGGTGAGACAGTTCACTTTTGTATAACTTATACACAAATGGCACTTTATTCTGTACTTTTGACAGGGTTAGGCACTTCTATTCAGTGAGAAGCCTGGCCATTTATTGGTCTGTTGTTGGTGGAACTCGTCCACTTAAAATATCTTGTGATTTGTCATCAGCAAGGCTAAGGGTCTCTCCTTGCATAGAGGCTTTTTACTAGTCCACCAAGTGCTGATTCCATTGGCAGTAGCTTGATGTTTCACCTCTTTTTAAACAGCTCATGTTGATGGAACTCATCGACCACCACTGTTTGTTATCATTCTCTTGAGGGTGGCAATGACCAAACGTGGAGTTATACATCTATGTTTAATATATTTCTAGCGATCTTGTAGAGACCACCCAACTGGTACTCCAGCCTGCCTGTCACCCTGATAATCTTCAGCCACTCAAGTTCCACTGTCGAGGGTCAGCCTCGGGGAGGAGCAAGTTTATAAGGCATTCTGGCTGCTCCAGACGGCTTTTTTCCCCATCTCATGATTATGGCTGCCAAGAACCTTTGCAACAATCTTAAGGTCCAAAATCCAGGAAAGGGCTTCCCCCACTCTACTTGCAGAATACACTGACCCATGCTGTTCCAGATCATGTTACCCTCTTTCTGTAGAGAAAGCCATCTCTATGTTTTCTTGGACTAGTGCTCCTTACAGTGGTCTCGATGAGCTTAGCCATTCACCATCTCAAAAATACTGTAAACTCCATAACCACAATTTCTCCTTCCTTACTGTTTTGTGGTATTTTCCAGCTCATAGATATACCTCAAATCATATGCAGTTAGACTCAATAAGTGAAGGCTCTAGGATATAAGGTTTTAAAGATTTGTTCTTGGATGTACGATTAAATTCATCGCAAATGAATCAGATAAGAGGAAAATGTCCATATTGACAAAAATATTTATCAAAACATAATACAATACGAGACAATACAAAATAGCAGGGCAAGTGTCTCGTGGGCGTGTAGAACTTATGAGAGTAGGTAATAGAACCTTTATTGAGAAGCTTTCAACAGTTTAAGAATAATCCTCCTGTGAATTAAACTACTTACGGTAATTTAAGATAACCCGAACGAATACAAAATTATATCAAAGTAAGTAAAATCGAAGTGAAGCTTAGATCATGCCGTGAATCTACATCATTTAAAGTGCTGAACTCTGATTTCCTAGGAAAGTGGAATCCACGAGAATTCAACAAAAAAGAAATAATGAACATGTTCACTTTAAGCAAATGTTTACACTAAACTATGTGAGATCTCATAGCATAAAAAATTAGGAATGACCTTTATTGAGGGTCTGCTAAAAACTTGCTGTCACGAAATAGCTGAAAAATCTATCTTTCCGGGGAAAAATTTGGCTTTAAATATGACAACAAGCCACAGTAGATACATCGGAAATCGAGTAGTCTTGTGTTTGTAAAGCTCATGTCTGCTCTTAGTGATGAGTTATCTTTATCATGAGAGAATACAGACAATAGCTAAATTATGGGCCCATTCGCAGCATGCTTCTTGTGTAAAACAAAGTTGAGTTACTTCATGAGCAGGTCAGACAGAGAACAATGAAAATCAATAATATTAAAATGATAACATTAACTAAGGGAGTAGAAAACACGTTGTATAATCCGGTATTAAACATATGATGTAAAATTCAATTTACATTCAGTTTGGCTTCTAATTCATCCAAGAATCATCACCGAGTTATAGACAAAAATGTTACTCGGTGAATTGGGAGCTAAACTGAATGTAAATTCAGTAATACGAGTAATTTTAAAGCATTTAATTTGCTGCTTATTTTGTTTTCTTAGTCCAAAGCTACAGAATGGGATGTTCGCAGTCTGTCTAGCATATGGAATCAAAACCCAGATTT